CTTCCTATAATCTATACTAAAAATATATCTTTTTTTTCTGTTTTACTAATACTTTAGAGAGGTCCTTGGACTATATGATAGTCAAATAATACTTTCTGATATCATTCATATGATTTCTTCATAAAAAAATTTACATTTCTTGAGGATATTTGATAATAGCACTGCCGAATAGGAGTAGCATCACTAGTATTAATAGTGTAAATTATGAGGTTAGTTCAGCCCAACTCTTGGGAGGTCCAGAAAAAAAGTTTATAAGTAATTCTTCCATTTTGTCATGATCATTGTCTTCAAGTTTTCTGATATCTAACTCTCAGAAAATTTCAACATCATTAAATAAAAACTCATAAGTCTCTTCTGACTCATTATCAGAGCAACCTTCATTCCCTTGTTTATAGTTGTTGTTACTATATGAATCTTGCCAATTATTAACTATTTCAAATACAGAGATCTACATATTGTACTGAGTAACAGCAGAGTTATCATCGACATCCCTTATTGATACTTTAACTCTATTTTGGTGGTAGTAAAAATTTTGGCTCTTATCCTCAAAGTATCTGAAAAGACAGTTCTCTAATTTTTTTTCCTCAAACTCACTCTTAGTTTCTCCTTCCAATTCAAATTCTTCAGATTCTTCCTCTTCAATTTTCTGGGGTTTAGTTATCATAGAGGGCATTTTTCTTGGAGCGAGGTATGTTGGAGTTTTCTATATTCAACTGGGATAACTATCTCTTGATCATTTCAATAAAAGGTTATTTCAGAAGACTATAGTTAATATAGGCATTTACTCTTGACAACCAATTATTACCAACTATAGCTTGATAGAAAGAAGCATCTATCACAACCACGTTTATGAGAACCAGCACACCCCCAACCAAAAATAAAAAGTTGGAAATTTCTTCTAGAGCTCTCTTACTTTGGCTATGAATGTTAACCATGTTAATTGTAAAGGGTCTTTCAACTTTGATTCCTAATTTTCCAAGCAGGTAGAATAACACCACACTTCTGAAAGATTTGCTATCAACTATTAGAGGAATCATTTTATCTTGGATGATTGCATCACAATAAAGGGCAGTTGACTAAGGAGTAGGATGGAGATTAACATAAGCACAAGTTTCTTTTTAGGGCTTTACTTTTACAAAAATTTATAGACAATTCTATAAACATAGATAGAATGGTTTTCAACAATTGACCTAGGCTTATATCAGCTAGCTTATCCATAATATTAGCAATAATAGAGTAATTATAAATTAGAGTAGAAATATGAGGCAGTTCATCTTTAGCCTTTTTTCTTTGAAGGAGAGCTACCTTCATATCTATTTTCAGGTTTAGTGCAGTAACAATTTTTCTTTTCAGTTCTTCTTTTTCTTCAAGCATAGCTTCTTGCTCATTCAAGTTCACAGGGCTTCACCTTCTTTGGTACACCTTTTCTAGATACAAATCAATCTAGTAGGCCTTTCAGATAGAAAGAATATAACTTCATCTTTTTCAAGATGTAGGTCCAATAAAGTCTGGGCATCCTCTTTGTTGGTACAAGTTTTAGAATTATTATTAGTCAAGAGGTTATTCTGGTGTGTATTATTCCAGTTGATAGGGATAGTATTACTTCTAGTTGCCACATTATTTCTGGTAGAAGGGTTGGGGCAGTTTTGAAAGAAGTGACCCATTTGTCTATAGTGGTAATATGGATAATATGGAGTATTATTCAAGTTGTGTTTAAAGGCTTCTCGAGTTTCTTGAAACTTTGTTATTATGGTCATAACAGCTTTAGTTAACTTAATTAAAATGTCTTCAGTTTTTAGTGGTTGAGAAGAAGACGAGGTAACAAGTATTAAAGTAGTAGCCAGAATATTAACTATAGGAGCATTAGTTAAAATAACATAAGAAGAAGTGACAGAAGAGATGTGCAGAGAGTTAAGAAGATACAGGTTATAATAAAGTAAATTTTGTTTGAATGAATTCTCAAAGGCTTTAGCCCTTTCATAAGCAGCAAAAAGGGTATTAGATATAAATGAGAAAACAGAAGCAGAAAGTTTGGATCTTAAACCATAAATAAATATTTGGGCTTTAGCTGTATCAGATAACAGTAATCACCTGACTTAACTCATCGAAGGAGTTCCTTAATAGTTACATAATAAGAATCAACATCTTCAGTAGATCCTTGCTTTCTTTGTATTAACTGGGCAAACTATTTGCTTTCAAGAGCAGGAGTTCTGAACTGAATTATAAAATGAGGGCAAAAACTTTGTTCTCTATTATTGGGATCATTTATTAGTTGATAGCAGATCAGATGGCTCAGTTGGCAACCCACCATATGGCTACAATATCTTTCAAATAAGGAATAACGACTAGAATTTTTTGATTATTCCTAACTTGGTTGGCTTCGAATGCTTTCTCAATATCTTCTAACCATATAACAGGGTTCTGTTCACCTCCTGAGAAATTAGGATAAGATACCAGATTCAATTCATGGTTCTGAAGTGGAATATTAATAGCAGTTATGTGAATTTATGAAGAAGTGCATTCTGCATATGGAGAATAAGATTGCTAAATTGTTGGGCCAGGAGGGTCATGGGGTCATTCTGAGGGTTATTCTTATGAACTTGAAGATCAACATGTTGGATTGGAATTGGTTGTTGGGGGTGAGGTTGGTTATCACCATCATCATTGGGGTCTACAAGGAGAGGTGTTTCAAATAAGTCATTATTCTGAGCCATGTTGATATCAATATAAAAAAGTACTTTTACAAAGGTCTCACTATTATTTTTGTCTGCTAAGGATCGATTTTAAACCTATCATTCTTTTGATAGACTATTAAAAATTTATTTACAAGTATAGAAAAATCGTCAGATACTTTGTTGTATCTAAAACTAAAGATAAAGCTACTTAGAAGCTGGTCAGGAATCTGGTTAATCTTAAAATTCTTGAACTTTTTAAAACATCTAATAGCTTAATAAGAATAGGCTATGACCAGTTAAAAAGTAATAAACTAAGCCCAGAAGATCTGAAATTGAAGTGAACATTCTTCAGAAAGGTAGCAAATAGAACAAGAATCAGCACGATAATATTTTGTAAAGTAATTGATCACCTGTAATGTCTTTCCAAATAGATAATAGTAATAGTTGTGTTCAACAATATTCCTAAAGTGTTGATCAAAATTATTCATATGCTTCTGAAATCTAACAGATGTATGATTCCACACAACTGGCACCAAATATAACTATCAGGTTGGAAGAGCGTCAGTTTATAGATAACTCAGGATAGTTAACAAAAAGGAAGAAATAAATACAATATTGGTTTCAAGAGATTGTAAGATCAAATTATTGAATATTATTAGAGAAATGATAAGTATTTATAGAGGGACTAATATAAAAAGGCGTATATCAATAGACTAATTGATATATAGTTTTTTAAATTGATGGATTAATTAAATTGATGTATGATCAATTAATTATTGTGATCGATTGATATGTAGATCGATCAGGCAGTTGATCTGAGATGTGAAGTAAAAAGATTAATTTAAATATAATTAATATATTTATAAAAGGATTTTAGGAAAAAGGTGAAAAATCATAAAGATATATTTATAAGGAGGGAAATATATTATCAAGTTTTTCTAAAAATAATAATTCAATAATGTAACAATATCATGAAGATGTATTCACGATTCAATAACAATATGTAATGATCTGGAGTTGATATGTTTATGATTTACTAACAATACAGTGAGAATTTGAATAAGATTTTCAATAAATAATAATATATCTTTATTAATTATTGATTTTGAAGTCTGAAAAAATCTGTAAAGGCGAAAAATGAACCTTTAAATATATAATTGCACTAATATAAATTAATTAAACTATTTTATTGTTAAATCACTTTTAAATGAATATTTACTAAATCAAAGGGTTACTAATATAAATTGAATTTTCTGAAAACCCAACAAATGGTTTGTATTCATTGTACTGGATTTAAAACAATCGAATGCTTTATTTTCATTTTCTTCAGACAGATAAAGAATTCAATTTAAAAAAGAAAAAATTTTCTTTAGTAATCAAGATTCTGGATGTATCAAGGCTACACAAAATTTTTATCATATTGTATGCTTATCTGCCAAGAACTTTTCTACAATGAAAGTCTTGTCAAAACATCTGGAACACAAGAACTGTACAAGATAAGAAAGTCACCAAATTATAATCATTAAATTTTGACTAGTCCATTTTGATATTTCATATCAGTTTAATGTTGAGGTCTGTCAGCCAAATTTCTTCAAGGCCAAATTTGGATATTGATATACCAACATTTTGATGACAAAAATAGACATATCTGGATACAATCACATCAATATAGAATTGTTTGATATACATGTATAGTAATAAGTGGGATAATTATCCCTTAATCTGTCTAGCAGGCAAATTTGTTTGCTTAATTTTTAAAAAATTAATTTTTTTTAATAAAATTTTAAATATTGATTTTAGCTATATATTTTCTAAATAAAA